GACTTACATGTACAAATGTAGACTCTTACACATACAATGATTCTGACAGTTCTCTTACCCGATAGAAACAGCTCTTCTGAACAGAAGTCAGAGCAGGCAGAACTAGAAAATGGGAAATTTTATTATCTGAGAATTATTTTGTGCATTAAATTGAATGAACATGGTCTGGATAGCCCACAGACATACCATAAAAATTTCTAGGACCCATAATTGGTCTCCTTTAAGACAACCTAATTCAACATGAATTAACAATCTTTTAAAAATAAAAAAATGGCTTTTATTCATTCCATATTGACAAATATTGACCTAAAGTTTGGTAGTAGCTGATTCCTAACGGTGCAGGAGCTTCATGTCAAATTTTGCCAATAACTATATGGAGCTGCTATTAAAAAAAAAATCAAAATTTCTTTGGCTGATGATGATAATTATGCAAAGTAAAGTTAAAATTAGTCTATGGGATGAAGTAAAAACATATATAACTGAAAAAAAAACAAGATATTTTATTTTGTCAACCAGACCTAGCTGTCTCACAGTGCTAATAGTAAACTGCCTGGTCCTGTAAATCAACAGGTGTGTGTGAAATCTGCACTTTTCATGTTGTCTGCTGCGTACATTGATTCAGCACACTGTGTAATGGTTTTGGTGTTGGTCTGAAATGCCAGAGTGGTTGCACCTCTGTGTGTCTGGGAGCAACAGATAGCAGCTTAATCAACCACTCCATTACTATGTAGTTAAATGATACCAATCTGTTCTGAAGAGTTTTTTTTCCCTTTTCTTTTTTATATGCACATAAAATCTCTGAGTTAAAAGAAAAAAATGACAGAAAAAAAGAACAGTGATAGATGAGGAACTGCAGCTAAAACAATAATAGTCTGACTACTGAATCAGCGTTTTCATTATTGTTTTTTTTTTGTCATGTTTTTTGCAATCAAATATCTTTAGCATTACATCATTTGCATCCTTCAGGTGATAGGTGCGTCTTTTAACACAAACAAAAAAGCATGATCATATCTCTCCTGGTGCTGGCTTCCCTTCAATGGCTCCCTGTTCATTTTAAAATGGATTTTAAAGTTTTACAGATGACCTATCAGGCCCTGAATGGACTGGCCCCTGTACACTCCTGCAGGCTTGTGTCCTCCAGATCGCTGAGATTCAGTGATGATTTGCTTTTGGTTGTCTCACAGTCCAGGCTAGTCCACAGAAGTGATTGGGTCTTTTCAGTTGTTGCTCCTAAATTGTGGAACCAGGTTTTCACAGATAGGTTTCAATACTTTTTTAAATTTCATCTAAAACACATTTGTTCTCAAAAACCTTTAATACAGAATGGGTGTTGACTTTTCAACTTCTATGGTTTGTATTTATGGTTTATCATATTTTTTATTGTTCTTATGATGTTTCATTCTGCTTTGTCTTTGTTTAAATTGTATTGTGACGAGTTTTTATCTGTTCTGTCAGGCAGGACCAGCTCTATAGCTAGTTTGTCACCCTAGGTGAGATTTCACGTGGTGCCCCTTGTTCAGTTTTCTAATTCTCACATTCCAAAAAATAAATAGTTTAGTCTTTGATATTATTGTTTATCTTTAGGAACCAGGTTGGCCAGTTAAAATAATAAACCCATCCATCCATCCATCCATCCATTTTCTTCCACCTATCCGGGGTCGGGTCGCGGGGGCAGCAGCTTCAGAAGGGAGGCCCAGACCTCCCTCTCCCCAGCCACTTCTTCCAGCTCCTCCGGGGGAACTCCAAGGCGTTCCCAGGCCAGCCGAGAGACATAGTCCCTCCAGTGTGTCCTGGGTCTTCCTCGGGGCCTCCTCCCGGTGGGACGTGCCCGGAATACCTCTCCAGGGAGGCATCCAGGAGGCATCCTTACCAGATGCCCGAGCCACCTCAACTGGCTCCTCTCGACGTGGAGGAGCAGCGGCTCTACTCTGAGTCCCTCCCGGATGACCGAGCTTCTCAGCCTATCTCTAAGGGAGAGCCCAGCCACCCTGAGGAGGAAATATAAAATAATAAACAATATAATCAATTTGAAACAGAATACCAGAAGTCTACCTCGTACCTGCCAACATTTGTTGACAGCAATGAGGAACACCTGTTCATGTTAACCAGCAGCATCAACTGTGGACTAAAGCAGTTCTAGGGGGAAATTTAGTTAAAGATCTACTCAAAACCATACATTTCCCAGCCTTTTGAAGAGTGTTTGACTAAATTCTTGGGATTAATAAAACTTCATAAAAAACATTAACAGCACAGGTTTAGCTTGTTTTGACAACTTTAACAGTCACTCACTGCTTAGCATTAGCAGAAAATGGTATTTCTGCAAATGCCGTTTTGTCCTGATTTTTTTTATTTTTCATATTTGTGGCAGCCATGTTTCCCTGTTTACCTCCACTGTCACTTCATCCATCTCACTTGTCATTCTTAGTCTTTCCGAATTTTTTTTATCAATATGGAAACACATTTTTGTCTCATTTCCCTTTGTTTTCTGGGTTGGAACTTCCCCAGTGAGCTGTAGTTTATGGAGCAGATGGGACCTACTGTAGTCGGCTGCCTCAAAAGAACCATAAATAGAGAACATGGGTATTTCTAAATAATTAAACACTTTCACTCTTCTCTTCCCTCCTTCTTTGTCTGCAACTCGTACTGCTTTTTCTTTAGTTTTCTCTCTGTTGTCACTCAATCATTTGCATATTTATCATTCCCTAAGCAGTGTTACTCCATTTTTGTTGTTACAAATGTCATCAATACACTTTTTTTTAAATTGATCATGTTTCTACTTTTGTCCTGCATCTTCCAGTGTTTTTTTTTCTGCCTAATACATTTAAATATTTGATGGGTCTGAAGGGTTTCTTCTTCAAATTGAGAAGGCCGTCCTTAGCACCTCATGATAGGGTATTCTTTAAAACTCTAAACTATTGGATATCCTTTTGATAGACAGACTTATTGTTTGCTCAGTTTGTTGTCAACATTAATTACAAAGTGGTAATATTTTTATACGTTTGGATAAGTTTAAGGCTGCTGATATCATAGCTGAAAACAGAAATGTACTTTTGATACACATTTATATCCAGAGTTCCACATAAGCGGTGCACAGGTGCGCAGGTGCGGTCAAAAAAGAAAAAAGTGCACCAGATGGGACGTCATAAAGCACCCTTGCGTACCTTAGATTGTACCTGATTGTCTGTCACAAGAACAGTTAGCAGGGCTCTAGAAGTGCGACCAGTTTGGTCGCAAACGCGACCTGATTTCTTAAAAAATAAAAAAAATAAAATAAAATGAGTCCAGCTGCACTGGTGTGAATGGATCGTTGTTCGGTGCGCCACAGCGGGACCCTGATATAAGGATTAAACGGACACTGCCTTCAACAAATCAGACGAAGTCCAGAGCCGTTTTCTCCAATCAGAGCAGAGCAGGGCGGGACTTTCAGTGAGAGCAGTTTGGTTGAAGCAGCGGGCCGGCTCAACTCGAGCTGCTGCAGCGATCAGTCACATCTCCTCCTCCGCTCCTCCTACACTTTGCTCCTGAACTACCAGAGACTTTGGTCTGTAAAACCTAACTTTATATTAAATATGTGTTCAGAATGTTGTT